TAGGTCTCTAAAATAGTTGTAGAGCTCTTTCGTGATTTCCTGCTCATAGGATAAGATTCTAGTCCCTACTGATAATTTAGAAAATGGGAATGTTCTTGGTTTGTAGATTTTGGAAAGATGAGACCAGAAGGAACTTTCGTGCTTATCATGAACAGCTTGAATGGTTGATAGAAAGCTGGATCATCTAGCCGATCTATAATTGTAGATCTCTTTTCGAATCTCACTTCACATATTTCTTAACAACATTCTAAGGTCTTCATTACCCACACCGTCTATTTTCCTTTCTCTATAGTACTTATTTCGCACCTTTCGAACTTCGCGTAGCCGTTCAATTATGTATGCAGGAAGAGATGGGCGATATTTTTCTCGTTCTTTCCAATGAGTCAAACGACATTTAAGTGCTGTAAGAAAACGTACATAATACTGATACCAATGATCAATTGAGGTCTTTTTTCGCTCATTCGTCCAAAAATCTTCTAGAAGTACTAGAATGGTTTGATAAGTGATCCAATCGGTGTGTGGGAAATAGCCGTTGGATATAAATCCTACACTTTGAGAGCTTAAGACTGTCGGCCAGTGGTCACTTGTACCGAAAAATATAATTTCATTCTCGACTCTATTCAAATTAGTAAATGTTAGATCGATGTGTCGCTCTGATCGTTTAGAGGAATGAGCAGAAGTGGGAATAAAGGTGAGTTCATTTTCTTCGATCCAACTTTCCAAAAGAACACCACGTTTATCAGTCGAATGACTGCCCCATTCATCTGAAGTTACATTGAAATCACCGGTCAAAATAGTGCCTTTTACTATAAAGAGGCACAAGTTATTTAGATTACGAATTTGACCTTGAGGCCAATATATACCAACAACTCTAATTTGTTCGGAAAGACCTTGGATATCCATGATCACTGTATTTTCTATGTTGGTATCGATTCTCGACGCTCGTAGATGTTTCGCTACCATTATCATAACTTCTCCGCTATGATTAGTGTCCTTTTGATAAAATGATGTAAAGTGTGGAACTTTAAATCTGTTCCATAGTTCTCCTACTTCGGTAAATACATACACTGGTCTATCAATCTTAAAGATTAAATCCATTACTTCCAAGGCCCGGGTACCCCAGCCCTGAACATTATATGTGATGACATTTAAGGGTATAAATTGATTAGATGAAGGGCAAGGATTGTTTTCCCATTTAGTTAGAATATTGTCAAGTGTAGAGTTAGAATACCATTCTTCTAAAATTGGTAAAATTCGTTTTTGAATTTTCAGAGAGAATTTCCAACTTACGAGTCTGTCTAGTGCTAAATTGAAGGGTGATTTTAACAATGGAGGAAGATGATAGGTAGAGGTGGGAGGGAAGGGGTGGGCATAAACATTAAGAAGAGAAGAAGAGAAGTCAGACATCTTGTCCTAGTGAGTTAATTGAAATGTCATTATTGATTTCTACTTCCCCAGTGTCGTTATTAATGCTGTTGTTATTTGTTGTAGTTGGTTGTGGGGAAGGGATGGGGGTAGTGTGTTCGTTGTTTTGGTATACATCTAATTTTTGTTTCCATTTTTGAAGATTTTCAATCGACTTATTTATATTTTTCTTCACTTTCGATTTTTCATTATTATTACTTTCCACCCACTTAGACATTCGTTGTACCGTATCAATAACAGCACTTATACTATAATAATGAAGTATCGTGCAATTATGTTGAAGCTCTATACGTCTATTCAATTCAGTGAATTTTTTTTCAGTCCGGATCATTGTCTCTGATAATGTTTTAATAGCTAGGACGAGATTATTCATCTCCTTTTTTAGGTTAGAGTGTAGTGCTTCATTATCAGATGAAGCCCAATCCGGATGACTACTTACTTGAGCCTGATTTAATACGGGAAAATCATTGGCATGTTGTAAATATAGACGGAAAAGTTCACCTGGTGAAGGTCTTTTAATAGCACCAGAAGCTAAAGCTTTATCGACAGTCAACTTAAGTTCTTGCTTGTATTGCTTAACAACAGGACAATTTGAGTCGAGAGAAAAATGTCTTCCTCAACATTGAGCACACTTGAGATTATCACCTTGACAACTGTGCCTGATTCCGTTAATAAACGGGACTAAACACTTACGACAACATGTTGGAGATTGACACTTACTTCTCATATGACCAATTTTCCAACATGCCGTACAATAAGTTAATCGATAGCCACTAAAGAAACTTGTTAGTGGTAGATAATGGTGTCCAATAGCTAGTCTACCAAGATCAGGTGCAGTTTGATATTGTTCTAGACTACGTACATTAAAACGAATATCATATAATGAATTTTGACGATGATGATAATTTATAGTTGAAAACCCAACTGCAGCTGGAATTGCTTTTAAAATTTGTTGCCGGGCAGTTTCTTGTTTAATATCTGAAGGAACATATCGTACTACCAGAGCAAGACAATCTGGCAATGAACGAGACTTGATAACTTCAAACTTTTTATCTTCGATTTCAAGGGGCCAAGTCCAATTGAATAATGTTAAAAAATCTGCCTTGTCACTTACAGCGAATTTAAATCTTCGAGCACCGGCTTGTACACACATAGACAGATCTTTAATTGGTAATTGATTATTTGTAAATAATTTCTTGAGCATGATAGCAACTTGTATACTTGACGGAATACTGGAAGGATCAATAGATGAATCGAATATAATAAAGAAACTCGGCAAGTTGTTGGAAACCGCATGTTTCAGAATGTTCAGATTAAAGGCATGTTGTTGATGATGAGGAGAAGCGAGTATAGGATGATGTTGTTGGTCAATTAGTTCATAATGAGGTGGATGATCATTGTTTCTTGGATGTTTTGCTAGACGATTACGATTTCCGCCACTATTGTCGAAACTATCACTTGCTGGACGTCTTGGAGTAGAACATACGGGGGTGGTTTGTTGTTCCATAAGAGGACGTACTATTGAACAATGAGGTTGATGATTCATGAGACGAGGAATGGACGAAACATTTTCGAGAGACGGACGGATAGGTCGAGGCAGACGACGAGGTGTAAGTTGAGAGGGCCCTGGATGATGAATTTGTTGTTGTAATTGGATGGGGTATTGTGATTGTTGAATAATGGTTAAACCAATTTGATAAAGTTCGTCTTTCGAGAAACGATTGAGGAATGTTGACAGGTCTGGTAGAAGTAAAGGGTTGGAGACCATCTTCAACGCTTGGTTATTTGTGATGAAGAGAACGTGAAGATGATCGTGGTGAAGGTGAACAACACCACGAGTGGCAAGAGAAAAAGAAGAAACAGGATATAATATGTGACTGATCACTAACGTGTAAAGTTAGAAAGTGATGATTTTGCTACTTAAAAACATTAATTACGTACATATAGAAGGAGAACAAACAGACATACAGGAGAGAATACGTATATATAGGAACCAAATGGGAGAAACGGAAAAAAGCATGCAAATATAAGGAAACATACAGAGTAAATAATATTATACAACGTATGAAAACATAGCAAAAAAGTCAATAGACGATAATGGGTTTGTAGATATTGAACAAACGTTTAAGAAGACTATGTAGAAAAATCGCTTCGTTTTAGTCCAGAGTTTGATATTCACTCTTCTAGAATTGATGTAGACTTTTAACTGACTTTTGTTGAACGATTCGTTTTCCTTATCTGCTGCAATCAATATGAAGAAGATTATTTAGAAAACAAGATATTTGTTTCTATTGATGAAAACTGATTGATTGTAGAAAACAGTGCAGGAGACACAATTATTCCAAAGCAGTTCTCTATTTTCTTGATAGACACATAGTTTATGATGGTTGTTACATGAACAAAACGACAAAAGGATAAGTTTATCTCGCTTATTGTTGATTGATGACAGTGAAAACAGTCGTAGTTCATTTTCATTCTGCGCAGTCGAACATCAAATCACTCTCTTCTTGACAACAGCTTTATGCGTTGTTCTCAGAGACGATATTTTTCCATTGGCAGGTATGAACATTATTGCTCTCAAACTAAACTTTTCTTTAAGAATAACTACGTTGTCCAAAATGAAATGTAAGGTTAGTATAAAAAAACGCATAAGTCAGCAGATGATTTTCAAGTGATATTCATCGATGATGTCATAGCATGCCTAAGTTGTGAGAAAATTTGATCATTCACGTTTTATCGAAAGCAGAGATCTTTAAGAGTTTTTCTCGAGAATAGGTTCTTAATCGTAGCCTAGTCGAAAAGAATTAGCGTGCGGTAAATATTGTCTTTCAGTAAAATGAATCTCTTCAGACGATGTAATCCTTTTCTGATGCTGAGAACAATAGAA